TGCAGCAGGAAGCAGAGCAGCTCCAGGCCCGCGGACACCAGGAAGAAGATGAGCGTGCTGGCCCGCTCGTCCGGCAGCAGCAGCTTGGTGAGAATGCGGCTCAGGGACACCATGACGCCCGCCGTGCCTGGAGCCGAGAGGGCGTGGTGCTGGGCCCAGGCCTCGGCCCCGCTCAGCGCCCCGGGCTCTGCCCTGGCCCTGCCCGGCCCGGCCCTGGCCCGCTCTGCCCCTAGCCACGCACCTGCCCCCGGCCCTGCCTGGCCCTGCCCCCACTCTGCCCCTGGCCCTGCACCCGCGCCTGCCCCCGGCCCTGGGCCTGGCCTGGCCCGGTCTTCAGACATGCAGGTAGCGGTTCACAAAATGCGACCACTCAGAACATCCCTCCCTGGCACTGCATAGTCACACGCAGGGGCATTTCTAGAACGCCTGCTGTGTATCTGGCACCATCCCGCCCTGAGGACACAGTGGGGACAGAGGGGACATAGGCCCGGCCTTCCCGGGGCTCGGTGGGGAAGGCGGCAGAGAAGTCGCAGAAAAATGCCAACACCCGCGCACGATTCTGCGGGTAGGCGACGGCCAGGGGCGGTGTCCCCGGCAGTGTGGCTGTGCTCGCGAGGTCACGAGGGAGGGCAGCGGGGTCATGGCAGGCAGGAGGCCTCAGGCAGGATGTGGGTGTGGGCTGCTCCCAGAGTGTGGGGCTCCTGACTGCGTAAACCACCCCAAATCCGCACCGCTCCGGCAGGTGCCTTGCTCATCTCCGTGGCAAAATATACAGAAGTGATCTGCTTGTCCAGTGCTTCCTGGAACCAAACCCCACAGACCTGAGGCCTGGCGCCCTGGGGCCATGTGGTCACCACACGGGAGGGGGTGCAGAGTACCTCGAAGACGAGAAGTGGGCCCAGCTTCCTGCCTGGACCCCGGCCCGTCCAGGTGCAGAAGGAAGATTGGGAGCATCTGGAGGAAGGTGCTTCAAAGGGGGTCCTGATGTGTGGGCAGGGGTGGCAGGGCAAGAGGGGAGCTGGCCCCCCCGGACCAGGGCTGGAGTCCGGGGCAAGTGTAGGTGCTGGGTAAGTGTCCGGTGTGAGCAAGGGGGGGCCACTCACTGACCAGGGGCGGGAGGACAGGGCAGATGGGCTTGGGAAAGCGGGTCTGAGAAGCCAAGTGGGGGTGCCGGGCAGGGGTTAGCTCAGGGGTCTGGGGCTCCGAGGACGGCATGATGCTGGACGTCACGGTTTGGACAGGCTTACCCCCGCACATACACGCACACACAGACACACAAAACGCACAGACACACGGGCGCTCCAAGCCACCACAGACCCCCGCTAGGAGACATATATGCTTCTCGCGCAAAGGACTGCATGCTTGGAGAGATGTGCACACATCAAAGCCACGTCTCTTCCTGCCAGGAGTCCCTGCCCCCCACCAGCCAGGCGCGGGGAGACGGCGGTCACGGTCCCCAGCGCCGGGTCCATGGCATGTCATGGGGGGGGGGCCCTCCAGGGGGCCTGCCGCTACTTACTCTCCCCGGTCATCACGCCCTGCGTGTACCTCTTGGGCAGCATCCCCGTGTAGCCATAGAAGCTGGATTGCTGCACTTGGGGGGACAGACAGAGGAGTAACCGTGAGATGCCACCCATCACCTGTCAGCTTGGAACCAAATTCACGAGTCCGAGAGCACGCGTTGGTGAGGGTGCGGGGAAACAGACGTGAACGTCGCGGGCAGCACAGAGATTTGGTCCCAGAGCCCTGTCCACCAAACTGAGCGTGCGCGGCCAGCCGGACCCCGTGACTGGCTCCGGCCAATGAAACACGTGCAGCGACAACGTGCCCCGCGTCTGGCCGAGGCAGTGAAAAGCCCACGTGGACTGGGGGTGTGTCTTTCCCCCAGCAGCAGTGACCACAGGGAACCCGTGTTACAGTTACCGCTGCCGCCCGACTCCCAGTGACTGTGGAGCACCGCCCCCATCCACGTGTCGAACGCGTGGCAAGAACCAGAAATAAGTCTCGCTCTACAAAGGCACCGAGATCTCGGAGCCAGCTGGTTTCTAGAGCCTCACTGCTCTCGTCCCAACCAGCAGCGGGTCTAAGGGGGTTAAAGACTCACTGGCTCGGACCCTGCAGGTTGGCGCATCCGTGGTCTACACGGACACCCTGGAGCGGTCACACTGGGAAAACATCTGCTTTTTAACCAAATGGCACAGAACAAAACAGACCCGAGGACACAGCCTGGAATGAGAACACTGTTTCCAGAAGCCTTGATTTCACTGATAAACAGATAACTCACTCTGGCTTTATAACAGGAAGTGTGTTTCTTCCCGCTCAAGAACTTGAAAGAGTACAAAACAACAGGCCTGGACCTTTCCAAAGGTCATGGCCGTGGAAACCTGAGGACCCTTGGGGATTAAAGGGGATTAACGACGAACGCAGGACACGATCCTGGATCGGATCCTGGATCAGAAAAAGAAAACGCTAAAGACGTTCCCGAGGCGATTGGTAATACGCGCATATGGGTTGTAGATAAGGTACCGTGGGGGTCAGTGTTCAGTTCTCGGACGTGGGCAGCGTTCAATTCCCAGACTCGGGCGGTTGTAACCCGGTTACAGATGAAACGTCTCGGCTTTTAGAAAATACACCCTCCGGTGATAGTACGTAGGCAAGACACGTAATGACGCCTGCACGTAACCCCCGAACGGTTTAAAGGGAAAACATAGCATATTTTATGTTGATATGCATTCAGGGGCAAAATTTATACGCACCTATGTACGTAAACTGGGGGGACAGAGGGAAAGCCTATCCGACAAAACATTAGCAACCGGGGGTCGGTGTATGGGAATTTATTATACTATTTTTGCAACCTTCCCATGGGTTTGAAATAGTTTTAAAAGTCAGAAATACAACTTTGAAAGCCAGTCTCCAAGAGAAACACAGTGGCGTGGTCACACGGGCAAGATAGTTCCTCAAGTGCAGTCTCTATCTGAGAAAGCCAGGGAACTGCCTCCGCGTCCACAGGGCATGCAGGGGTGTGCAAACGTGTGCCCAGCGTGTGTGTGCATGTGCGGAGCATGCACGGGGATGTGGCAGGTGCTGTGCGTGTGCACTGTGTGAGCACGCACATGGGGCATGCACGGGGGTAGGTGCCAGCACTGAGTCCTTGTCACCTCGTGTCGTTATGCTTCCAGCAGGCGGACGGGGTGGGGGTGGCATGGCCAGCAGTGGGTACTCAGGGGCTCGGCCCCCCCCCCCCCCGGCCCGGGCTCCTACCTGTGCAGCCTAAGGCCACGGTGCCCACAGCGGCCAGGTTGATGGCGTAAGCCTGGTCGTGAGAGAAGAGCTGCAGCCACACGTCACAGATGCTGATAAAGAGGAGGGGGCCCAAGGCCAAGAGGTAGCCTGAGGGACGAGAGGCCAGAGACGTGGGCACGTGAGGCTGGGGGCTCCCCCCGTGCCACCCCTCCTGCAGAGCCAGGTCAGAGGTGCCCTCTCTGTCTGCCTTTCCCCCTTTATGCTGGGAGGGCCGAGGGCACTTTAGAGGGCTCAGGAGGGGTGCCTGGAAGGCTTCCTGGAGGAGGCCCCATTTGAGCTGGGCCTTGACACCGGATGTTGCCACGAAGAGGAAAGGGACAGGAAGAGCAGACTAGGCCCCAGGACGCAATGTGGGGCGCACAGAGCCTCCCCATGTGCAGGTTTCACGCTAGCACGTGGTGCACCCGCCACAGGCCTGACCCTACTTTCATACGCTGAACTCTGTAACAGTCCTAGGACATGTGCCCATTTTATAGATGGGGAGAGTGAGTCGCAGGGAAATTGGGGTGAGTGGCAGGCCGGATGCGTGAGAGCTGGGAGCCCTGGTGGGCAGCGTACCCGCGGTAATCCTGGTGTGAAGGTTCAGTCTCTCCACCAGCACGTTGTTCAGGAGCACGGCCACCAGCGCCACCAGGATGTAGGTGAGGCTCATGTCGAACACGATTGAGGTCCCTGCAGGGGGCCGGCCAGCAGCAGGTGCTCAGGGGGAACCCCGCTCCCCGCACCCACCCTCCCCAGGGGCCGCTTCCTTGTGCCGCCCGAGACTGGCTGACAGCCCAGAGAGGGTGAGCGGGCGCTTGGAGTCACTCCGCATTTGGCAGCCGAGTGAGGATCTGAATAAAATGGGCTTCCCTGAAACGAGGCCCGCTTGCGGGGTCTCCGGAGGGTGGCGGGCCAGAGCTGAGTGTGCCAGCCGGCCTGTGGCGGGCGGGACACGACCGCGGGGGACCCACCTGGGTACTTGTGGTGCAGGTAATCCACGTCGGTGATGAAGCTGTTGTAGGGCAGCAGGAAGCCCACGCCGGCCAGCAGCATCGCAAAGTAGATGGCGTGGTAGCGGTCGTCGGGCACGGGCTCCCCTACCGCTAAACCCAGAGGCGGCAGGTTAGAGGCGGACAAGCCCCTCGGAGCCATGGCCGCCGTGCCAGGACCACAGTCTACCGTAGCACCGCCACCCCCATATCCACGGGCCATCGACACCGTGGTCACCGGCCCCACATCCACCAGCATTGCGGCCACCATCCACCTTCGTGGACTGAGCTGCCCCAGTCATGGCAACCACCCACGGCCATCACCATCACGGCCACCAAGCAGCTGGCTTGACGGGATGGAGGAAGGGCCGTCGGAAGACTCAGCCAAGGTGGAACCCTCCAGAAGGCTGTGTATACTCTAACTCGGTGTCTAACACATGGGCGATCTCCCCTTCGGCACCCAGGTGTCCGGGGAGCACGGGCGGCCGTGGGAATAGCACCACTCACGATGACCTTCAAAAGCCCGCGAGCAACATGCCTGCTCCCCACCCCTGTGCCTCGAGGCTGCCGGCCCAAGGGGACGGTCCTGGTTGCGACAGGAGAAGTGCTTCTATGCAGAGACACAATGATCCCATTGACCTGGGAGCGAGACGGCCACCAGGCACTCTGGACACCTCCCAGCCCTGAATCAACGGGCAGAGGAGAGGGCTGCCTTCCTGGCTGGGGTGGGTCAACCCGACTACCAAGGGGAAATCAGCTTGCTGCTGCCCGTGGGGACAGAACAGAATAGAACGGAAGATGACAATGTCCGGATTGCAAGAGGTTCCTTATGGCATCTCTTAGGACTTCCAGTCCCCGGGACTGAAGTCAACAGAAAACAACAACAATCCAATTGTAGCCTTTAGAAGTGAAGGTCTGGGGGCGCCTGGGTGTCTCACTCGGTTTGACTTCGGCTCAGGTCATGATCGCGTGGTCTGTGGGTTCGAGCCCCGCATCGGGCTCTGTGCTGACAGCTCAGAGCCTGGAGCCTGTTTCAGATTCTATGTCTCCCTCTTCCTCTGACCCTCCCCTGTTCATGCTCTCTCTCTGTCTCAAAAATAAATAAATGTTAAAAAAAAAAAAAAGTGAAGGTCTGGGTCAGCCCACCAAGCAAAGAACCAAGGCCAGCTAGGTGCTGAGGGTGAAGAGCACGAGGAATGGGTAGTGGGGAAAGGGGGTCATAAGTGCCAGCTAGGACCACGTGGCCCGCCTCAGAACCTACAAATGCCATTGTCACGCATGTTTCTTCCTTGTCTTGACATGAATGTTTGCATATGTGTATTAACCGGGAACTCGTGTTTTGTCTGCTTTGTGACCTTAGTGTCAGACCTAAGACACGTTCACGTGTTAACGTCCCATCTCAGTATTTACGTTACGAACTATCAAAGGAGAGGTGGGAACGTGGGAACGTGGACTTTGCATCTTCCTGGGAAAGGACCAGTGTGTTTTTGGTTAGCTGTGTCACCCCAGGCAGCGGTATGACTTTGTTGGTGTCTTTATTTGGAGATTAAGTGTGGTTTACAGAGCCGTGTATGGGAGCCAAGTGGGCAAGGGGTGGACTGTGGTGGTCAATTTTATGGGCCAATTTGGCAGGCTAAAACAGTCCCTCGTTGTTCAATCAGACACTGACTGAGGTGCTGTTGTGAAGGGATTTTGTGGATTAAAGTCCCTCCTGAGTGGACTCTAAGTTAATCAAAAAAAATTACCCTGGGTGGGCCTGGCCGAATCAGGCAAGACATGTAGGTCTTCCCAGAGCTGAGACCCTAAACAGCTCATGCCCCTGGGGTTTCCTGAGCACCTGCCTTATGGACTTCAGACTGCTGTAGCCTGGCTCCACTGTGGATGCTTATTTCCGGTAATAAATCCATACACGTGTGTATATATCTACACCTACATACCTACATCTCTCTCTCTGTCTGCTCTCTCTCTATGTGTCTCCTACTGGCTCTGTTTCTTGGCTGAACCCTGACTGACCCAGCCACTGTCACCAAAGCTATTATAGTCAATTTTTTTTTAACGTTTATTTATTTTTGAGAGAGAGAGAGACAGAGCAGGGGAGGGGCAGAAAGAGAGGGAGACACAGAATCCAAAGCAGGCTCCAGGCTCCGAGCCGTCAGCACAGAGCCTGGGCCGCCATCCACGTCTCTGGCCACATGCTATCTGGTGCCGCACCCGGCTGGGGGAAGTCTGGCACCTGGGGGATGGGCCGGGAGCCGGCCCTGCCTAGGCACAGGGGAGCAGCGAGGTTACTCCAACCCACTGCAGGGCTCGGCCAGCAGGACCTCTGCTTCCCATCTGCAGACAGAGCGGACGGAACCGGAGAATAAGCCCCTATTTCCGAGCCTGCGCCGGTGCCAGCATAAACTACAGCCACCCCAAACGAACTATCACAGGGGGCCTCCTGAGCGCGGGGACAGCCCTAAGCGATGTTCTGGGGCTTCCACTGCAGCCACACGGAGCGTGGTACCAGTCCCCTTTCTCCTTCCTAGAGGACATAACCCAAGCGCAGACAATGGAAACTTGCCCACGGTCCCCCAGCTGGCAGAGAGACGGGGGGCTGGGGCTGAACCCAAACCTGTCCAGGGGCAGCCGTCTACCCTGCAAGTCTGATCTCAGAGGCAGCCTGCCTGGCTCCTCCACGTGGGGAAACAAGCTCAGAGAGGCTTAGGCCCTTGCCCAAGGTCACGCAGCCAGGATGAAAATCAAGTCTTTGAACCTCACATCAGTCCTTCTTCCAGGCTCTTTCCCATCTCCACTGAAGGGGGGCCACTGAACGTGACCCAGGCGACCCATGTCACTTCCAGGCGGAAGCCCTACGGGGCAGACTCACCTTGTGAGCTGCAGCTGCCCCGGGGGTCAGGAAAGCCCATGTTAAGACGAAGCCTCCTCAGCCTGGCTCCCTGACCTGCGCTGGACGCAGCGTCGGGGCGTGGGCCCTGCGACAGCAGACTTGCGTGTCCCTGTGGCAGGCGTGACCCATCCCGACACCCCCTGGGGCCTGCACTCGGAGACCCCCCCCCCCCCC